TCCTGTATGAACACATCCACTCAGCATCCTGGAAGGGGGAACTATGACAAACATGTTTCCCACGTTGAAGGAAACAGTAGCTGCAGTGCTTGAGAGTGGCCTCTCTCAAACCAGTGCTGTCTAAGAGCAGCACTGAAACATTTGGGGTCCCACAGGTGTGAAGGAAAGTGCAAACATCCATCCCTGAGAATGAATGTTCCTCTCCAACACAGAAAAGTTTTACCCGGGAGCCAGAAAGTTCTAGGATGGTTTGGGAAGGGATTTTCCTTTACTATCCTTGTTCCAGAGCTACAGGCAGCTTTTTGATAGTCTGGATCTAAGCCATGGCATGCCTTGAAGGTTGAGTCTGAAACTGGAACTTGATTCTCATGAGGAAAATTACCCAAATATGGCCCTGTGTCTGGTGAGCTGCAGTATTAATTTCTTTATCTTCACTAGCTCTCACCCTGACAAAAATGGAAAGGTATCTCTGTCTCTGCATTAAATATCATGTGAAAAAATTCTACATTTTAGCTCCTTCCCTGAGAGAATATTTTTCAGTGGTTAATGAGAGATGAAAAAATCCACTATCAAGTCAAAAATTCTAGGTTGTGGGCTTCTTTTTTGCCATGTACCAAATTCCCATTTAGCATTAGTGAAATAGTGAAAGAATAGCATCCCTGACATCTCAATACCATATTTTTTTTCATGGTAAGGATCATGAATGGGTGGGCTTTCCTTAGGAATCCCCCATCTCCCTACTGTGAAATGATCACATCGCATCTGTTTCCAAGAACAACACCTAACTGGTCTGAAAGCTTAAGGTTGCCTGCTGAACAACTTAAATGCAGGAAAAAAGCAAAAGATCCTGCTCTACTGGATCAGCAGGATCTAAACAGAGCCAAAGCAGAGGTTCCTTTCTTCCTTGATCAAGCTATCACTGTCTCCTCTTCTGCCTATCCATAGTCTGCTCATTTTTCCTACTCTGGGCTACCTCCTTGGCTGAAGGATCCAAAAGCAGAACAGGCAGTTGCTTGGAGGAAAAACATAAGGTCTTGGTGGGGGGACACCATCGTTTGAAATGAACATTTGCTATTTGAAATGACTGATGATAAAGTGGTCATTTATCACTGAAGTTCTCATCTCGTTGCCTCTGGTTCAGTTATGGCACAGATCTGACTGCTGCACTGTCACACTGATGTACATTAGGGTACAGCAGCGCTCTCAGTGCTGGCTTGGCTGAATTTTACACGTGTAAGCTTATTCTGTAATAGGATCCACTACGAGCTCTCCTCAAAAGCCGCTTCCCACCTTTCGCGTTTGCAGCAGGGCCGGTAACTCGGAGAGCAAGGATACTCAGCAGAGGTATTTCAAGGCCCTTGGCTCAGCTGTGGAACAAATGCCTTTGTCCCTCGTTCCCACCACACTGCAGATGCCAGCAGCCCGCACTCCTCTCGCCCGCCGTTGCTGAGGAGAAACCCTGCAGCATCCGGCCCCGGCCGGCCTTTCCAGGGGGCTGGGGGCCTAATGCCAAGGAACACAGTGCTGCTCACCAGGCTGCAGACAAGGGAAGCGAGCACAAGGCCATGGCGCCGTGTGTGCCCCCAGAGCTCCAACAGAGCCTTTGAGTCCTGCTTTCTGCAGATGGACCATACATTAAAAATAGCAGCATCTGGGGAGTAACAAAATACATCCACTTATGGATCTGGAAAAGTTTGGGTCAGGAGTTCAGATAGCTGGAAAAATATCTTCTCCCTGGGAGGAAAAGGAAAGCCCAGAGATCCTATTGATTCTGGGACAGAGGAAGGATAGTCTATATTTCTTTGGAGGCTCAGTTAGCCCTTTAATTTACACACAGTCACACTTTAGCACACGTCACATGTACCTCCCTGGTAAACTCTTCTTCCTGGCCTTTCAAGTGCATTATCTCACCTGCTTGGATGTCTCTGGGTGATGCTCATAGGAAAACAAACCTTGAAACAGATGTGAAAATGCATCTGAGGAAGAATGTATGGATACGACCCATCTGTCATCACCCTTTTCACCATCTCGTCCTCTACCCTTTCATGTGGTGCCCACTTCTGCCAAGTTATGAGCAGAGGAGCTCAGTGAAATGTGAGACAAAGCCCTGCTTAACCTGTCTCTTCAGTATAAGCTCCCCTGGTCTTTACCTGACTCTGAAATTCAGCTTTCCTTCAGTGAATGTTTTCTTTAAGGAGAAGAAATTTGCTCAGGTATTCTGGGCAGGTTCCTGCTGAAGAGTTGGTCCACCTTAAAGGTAAGGAAGATACAAAGTTTCATGAGCCATTACAACTTACATGAAAAAACAAGATCACAACTGCAAGCACCATGCGTAGCCAGTCTAAATGTTGATCCTTTTATTTTCATTTTTTTAATGAACTGCTCTAAAAAAAGTTAAACCCTTCAAACAAAGGGTTTGTCAGAGAGAAATACTTTTTTTTTTTCAAAGCAGCATTTTCCCTTTTCTTAAATATCAAGAAAGCATTTTTGTGAAATAAACAGTCATTATTACAATGTTTTGCAGAACTCTGATGAAATCTATATGCACATAAAAACTAATAAACATCATGATGAGTTGCAGCTTAAAAAAAAACCCTCCCTCTCCAAAAATACAAGAAATTTGTAGTGAATCTCTAAGGACCTTGCAAAAATACACAGATACGGTCAGAATTTCTCAGTGAAGGTTAAAAATAAGACCAGTCTGAAACCAGTGGAGAGACACCATCTTCAACCTCTTTTAAATATATATTTCTTTTTTTTTCTTTTTTTTGGTTCCTTCAATCATTTTTCTACATGATAAATTCAATTTTCTATAAGTAATTTAGCAGTAACATTAACCAAAACTCTCCTACAATCTTCCTAAATTATAGGCATTTCCCTGCAAGTGCTTTGAAAGTCTCCAATTTCCAGCGCTTTCAAAACAAAGACCAATTCTATCCCATTTCTTCAGTGCCAGATGGGACAGATAGCACATTCTTGTTGCTCCTATTGAGCAAAGAGATTTCATTTGCTTCTTGCCTGTACCAGAATAGCCCCATTGCCTTCAACAGAGCTAGTCATAAATTTTTAGCACCACAAAAAGATGGCTAAACTTTTCCTTTCACATAGTCATTTGCTCTTCTCCAGAAGTTCACAGAGTTGCTAAGAGAATTGCGTTACTGCGCTGCCTGCCCCCAAAGACCCACCATGAGCAGATGGTCCCAGCATGTCCTCCCTGCTGGGGACGTTGCACCCTGAGGAGCAGGCTATGGAAAGGCATGTGATGAGCCAAGGGCCACCCAGCAGCAAGGGGGACTCTGGCTGCCCGGCCCCAGCTTTCCTGCTGCTCACCTTGCAGAGCCGGTCTCGTGTCTGGCTTCACCTCCAGCGTGCAGGCTGCTGCTGCAGGACTCCATCCCCTTCCTCAGACCTCAGCTCGCCACCTTCTCACCATCATAGAGGCACTGTTTCCAAGCGGGGATTTTAGTACCAAGGGACCTTGGTTGCAAACGGTAAAGGGGAACCACAGGCTTGCCCTCCAGAGCTCCAGGATCACCACAGCGCACTGCTCCTTTCCCAAAGTCCTGCCTGTCCCCTTCTGCTGCCACTCGGCTCGTCTCCTCACCCTCTTTCTCCCTCACCAAAAAAGCCCCAGCGTGCCACTTGGCTGGCCCCTAGTCACTAGCCATGCAAGAGAGCTTCCCCATTTCCACTTGTTCATAATTTCAAAGCATCATTATGGGGCAGAGATTACTGATCACAGTAAACAAGCCACTATCTCATAAAAGTATTCTGGATATGATCTTTATTGTAGGGAAATCTTATTGGGGAGGAAGATCTCCTTTAGAGAATAGTACATAGTCCTTTTTCAGAAGAAGAGGCTCCAGGAGCCTTCCGGTAATTTTAATTTGCCTGCAATTTGAGCCGTGTTGATACAGATCTTTTAATTAGTATCCTCTGTTGACCTGGAAAAAGCATTGTGAGGAGGCTCAAATCAATCAGTTCCCTCACTTTGGCTGAGTGCTCACCTGTTCAAAGGTTGGGTTTTGGTTGACTTATTTTTTTGAAAAACTGGCAAGCAAGCAAAAAGATTTTTTTTTGCACCATTTTGTACCAACAAACCCTTTCAAATAGCCATTCAAGTGGCCACTGGGGAAACAGCTCCTACTCGTTGATCCCAAAGCCCAGAACTCATTTCTAGAGAAAATAATTAAAAGAATTAAAATTAATTGAAGAATAATTTAAAAATACATGACTGGCTGATTGGACTGGAATGAATTTTACCATTGGATGGCATCTATGAAGAGTCACTTTCCCAGACAAGTAAACAAAAACCATAATTTTTCTATCATTTAAAAATGCTGTTAGTCCTGCTCTTGAGACAAGGCCTTCAGAAAAATGGCTCTCAATTCAATGGCTTATATGCAGTAGAAAATGCTGTACAGTGATGCTGATCCTCACACTGTGGTCTAGGCAGCCGGCCTACAACCTTGCAGCTTCCCAGGCACGGAGGTTTAATGTCCTCTGCAGGAAAACTTTGAGAACAGGAGTATCCGGGGCAGAGATGAGTGCCGGATCCGTCCTGCAGGATTCTGCCAGAGGACATGCAGAGTGCTGGAAAGATTCCAGGGAAAATGCACCCCTCAATATGCAAGAGTCCAGGCCTGGGAGGAAAAGCAGAAGGGCCCCGAGTGCAGGGAGGCAGCTCTGCCTGGGGCAGGGCACGTGCCAGCACATGGGTGGGTGCACAGGGCTCTTCTGAAGAGCAAGAGCCTCAGCAAATGCAACAAACTCCTAGCACCAGGGCAGAATTAGGCACGGCCAGGGTTTTGGAATGGGAAGATGCCTGAGCAGAGACAGAAGTTTCACATTATAGTGTGATTTTCTGGTGAAAGTCTCCGTTTTGATGACAATTTTTAATGAACTTCCAGGAAAACCCACACAAGTTTTTTGTTTTGAATCACCATTTCTAAACGAAGTAACGATAAAAGGTTCAAATATGGCATAAAGGAGAAAGAGCTGCTTCTGGTTCTCATCTTGGGTGAATAACTAACTCAGTCTCCAAGATCCCCAGTCTTCTTTTTTGCAACGTGCAAGTTCACTCCGTTCAGCCACCGCTGCAGGACAGCGCCCGCGAGATCACGGGCATCATGGATTGAGAAGTGCCTTGTTTCCAGAAGAGCTCACAAACAAGCATTAGAAAACACACCGATCAGTTTGTTTCCTTCAGTTTTAAAAATATAACAAACATTTTACAAGCAGGTAAAGGCAAGTATGTTAAGGGAGGCTATTGGTCTGGAACCATCAGGGCCCCAACGTACAGACTGCACAAGCTGAAGGTGCTCTTTGGAAGTGTATTTTCCTTAGTAATAGTCTGATGAACATTGGGTACTGATCAGAATAAATACATCTGGCAGCAGGTCTTGACACTACTATAGCCATAGATGTAAGGGAAAGACATGGGAAAGGAGAGAGAAAACTCAGGGAATCAGCTCCTACCTGCTGCTCATCAGTTCATGCATATGGTGAACTGTCTGGTTCCTCTAAGCCTGACTTCTCACACAGATTAAGAACAACTAGATTTTGGGGTGTAATTAGTTACTAGTTACTAGTATTAGTTTGGGGTTACTAGTTCGGGAATATTTGAGGAGCCCAAGAAAAGCCCACCTACATCTCTGGGCACTTGGGCACCTTGGGAAATCTGATCCTGTTCCCTAGGGCTCAAGAATGATCAACAACCAGGGGACACAATCAAGCAAATGAAACAGAAGCACCAGCAGCAGGGCCACTGCATCTCCATCTCCCCAGTTCCAGGACAGCAACCGGAGGCAGCACCAAGGCAGCCCGTGGCACCTGCAAACTGTGCACACGGGAGCCCGTGTCCGAGTGTGGCACSCAACACTTGCTGCTGGGGGACAACACGATACACAGGTCACAGCAAAGCGAGACCTCAGGTTTCCTAGTGTGACCACAAGCTAGGGAGACCTAGTATGACCACAGTGTTTCCAGAGCAGGGTGCTGCAGATGCTCGGCAGCCCCCTGGCCCTGAGCCAGCACTTCACTCAAGTACATGGTGCTTTTCATGCGCAGCGACAGCCTGCTGGGATTCACGGGGACCACCCATAGCCTCTCACACAGCCCCGGTGTCAGACACAGCTCCCAGACACCTAGGCAGCGGGAGCACTGAGAGGAAATAGCCCAGAACAAGTCTGCATTTTACCACAGCTTGTTTGCCCCTCTGCAGAGCGTGCTGCAATATTCACACCGCGAGGCACAGGGAGGGGAGGCATGGAAACAGAAAGGAAAAACCAGGTAAGGGTGATGAGCTGAGCCAAGGGCCCGGCGGGGCCGTGCTGCATTGCCACGCACGCCATCTCCAGCGGCTCCAAAGCAGGGGCTATAAATGTCAGGGAGCTGCCTGCCAAATGGAGCATCATCTACCAGCAAAGCCTGCCAAGGAGATGGCTCTGATAGGGAGAGGTGGTTAGGTGAGAGGCTGCGCCCTGAATCACAGGGATCCAGCCGGGGCTTTATGAACATCCTCGGGCAGCTGTGGCTGAGCCCCGCCTGGCAGGAGGTGCAGGGGGCCGGGCATGCAGCCGGGGGCAGCCGGAGCAGCAGCACTTTGTTTTTTTCTTCTCCTCTCTAAGCAGCTTCCCTTAGTGGATCTAAGTCCAATAAAGTTGCTGCAGCAGCCAAGCTGCTCTCCAGTCTAGGGGGAACACATGTACAAACACTCTTGAACATCTGCCTCCCAAACTGTCTTCCATGGCTTGGATGCCATTGATGAAAGCGACACCCGAGATGTGAAGTCAGTCCTAACACCAGTGCACGTGAGCTGCAGTCCTAACACCAGTGCACCTGAGCTGTGCTTCCCCTCCTTCTGCCCAGCCGTGCTCTCACGTATACCTTGTGCAGTCCCGAACCAGAGGCAAGAAGGTCCTTTGCTCCACTTCACTTTGCCTTGCAGCACCTCGGCAATTCCTGGCACGAGTGCAGGTACAGAAACCCACTTTTAAAATCCATCCCTTCTCTCAATCCCACGCTGGAAGAGAAGGCAGGCAGAGCACATCTGTATATCTCAGCTCCTCTGTCCTTCCTTAAGTCTCTAAGCACAGTCAGACTCCCAAGCTGACCTGCCCTACCTCTGTGCCTCATCTAGGCTTTCTCCTTCCAGAAACCGTAAGATACAGTTCCAGTCCCTTCTCCTCATGAATCCATCAGACTTCCTTGGATGTAAGAGCCATTCTCTCCTGTGGAGGACATCACCAGGAATTATTGCTGTCCACAGGATCCTTAGGTTAAGATCAGAAGGAAATGATATCGTGAGACACTCTGATGTCCAGCATCTCACAGGCCAGAGAGCATCATTCCCTGTGGTGGGGCCAGCCCATCCTTCTGCCGAGGAAAGCTGCATTTGATAGAGACACCTGGTCTTGATTTAGAGATGACAAGTGATAGAGAATCCTCCACAGTCTCCAATAAATCATTTCAGCAGTTAATTCTCTTCACTGTCAAAAAATCTGCACCTTATTTCCAGGCTGATTAGGTCTGGCTTTAGCTTCCAGGCCCAAAGCAGCTTGGACACTCCTCCAAGAGCAGCACTCCCCAGCATCCAGCTTTCTCCCTTGGCAGCTCATGTAAACCAGGATCTAGTCCTCTTTGAAGCTTGGCTTGAAATACATCTGCAAAGTCTTTCAAAAAGCAACTTAATCCCCACCAAGCCACATGTGCTGAGTCACTCAAACCAGGCCAAACATATAAACCAGGTCCAAAGGTCCCTCCAGCCAGGTCTCTTAACAGGGTTCAGGAACAGCTATTTCAGGAATACAAACTCCAGACAGTGTCACTTCACCTGGCACATCTCTCCAGCTTCAGTTCTCAGAGGTTTAAGGGCTCCAAGCTGAAGCTCCTGGGGAATTTATTAGGTCAGGGGCAGGTCACCTCGTTTGTGTTCATCTGGCTTCCAGGCTGCTTGCAGCATGGTCAGAGGGAGTTCATGTTCACTTGCATAACACTTGGTAGACACAAGTACCCTTAGATGAGTATAATGGATAAGCCTACAATGCAGCTTTTCCAGATATCATCTCAGCCACTTCGTTATCTCACCACAAAGCTCAACTGAAATTCTGTGACTTCTCACCAAGAGTCACCAGTCACTTTCCCCTAAACTTTCTCTACACAGAGCATGACCAGGACCATGACTTGGTACCTATCCATTCACACCTGTATTAAATTAAACGCAGAAAAAGCTCTTGGCTGCATCTTGGCCGTCTCCTGGACCCATGGCTTGACATTTCTGGCTCAGTTTACATTGCCACCACACATGCCCTAAATTGACAGTATCTGCTTTACATTTATGGCAGTTTATACTACTCCTCTGGCTGAGCTTTTGCAAAACTTGCAGTCATGTATACAGCCAAATGCCAAAAATCAGAGCAGATTATCATGCATTTCCCTGACAAGTATCACATGCTTCTCTTCTGTGTTTACTATGATGGCATGTAGGCTCACCAGCCCCAGGCAAAGACCCCTTCTGTGTTTAGTGCTGAATAGACACAGCAAAAAAAACCACTGCCTCATACAGCTCCTGACAGCAAACACAAGCAAGACCGCAGAGGACGCAACAGTTTGAGACACTGCCACGTCCTAGGTGGAAGCAGGGCTTCCTCCTACAGATGGGCACACACGCCCCACTCACACTGAAAGGATTACTTGGTAGAATCAAATATACAAATACTACTGCCAAAGCCACCTCCTGAACGTGACAGATCTCGAGATGGACCAAATGCCAGCGAGGGAGCAGGTCGTAACTGCTGCTGACTGACGGCTTCAGCAATGCACGAAGCCAGCCTGGTCATCCCAGAGCACGCTGTGGCCTAGCCTCATTGGAGGCTGTTCTCATCTAGCTGCTTAGGTTTATCTTCTGTGAAAGACAAGACCAAAATGAGCTTCTACATCAGAAGGTTTGCAGGAAACTATAATGCAGAGCTGACTTCTGTTACCACTTCTGTTACGGGCAAATGAGATTCTTGTCCTGGATGGCACCAAACACTGTTCAGACGATTGCTCTTGCATCACTCTGCCATGTCTCTCACTAGTATTAGTAATTTTAATGAATCTTCACTCCTGTTTTCTGTGTGGTTAAGTAACTGTACCTGCTAGTTCACTAGATCACATAGGTTTAATTCCATTTCTTCTAGCTTATACTGTCCCACATATGCTTTAGTTTACTTTTATTACTGTATCCTTTTATCTAACGAGTTATCTAAGCCACCATAAAACACAGAAGAAGCAGAGATGGAAAGCATTAAATTTTACGCAGTTTCTTTTAGGTCATCTACAATTCTTCGTTCATTCATCCCAAACCACCCCTATTTTTCTGAATCCACTTCCTGCAGCTAATGGACAAGATGGGATGTCTCAGCTTAGGGCAGACCAAGATACTGCTCCCAGCTATTCACTCTGGACCGAATACATGAGTTACTCCATCTGCCAGGGTTGCAGACTGAAGCTCTGAGATAGACTACCACAAGTGTCCATGTGCAGCAACACACAGTGCCAGGCAGCCTGGGAAGCACACAGCGGGTCTTCCCATGTTTCACATGAAACTGGATGGGACATGAGGCTTTTTTCTGGGTTGGAAGAAAAGCACCTTACAGACTTTAGAACCACGGGCTAAAATCATGAGCAGGAACTCCTGGCACCAAGGCCACCCCTCACACACCCCAGGTCAACACCTGATTTCACATGGGCAGCCCATGGCCAACACTCAGCCACTGCACCCTGTCGAGGATGTGTGTTCCCTTAGCATGCTCAGCCTGCCACATCTGAAGATTGCAGGAGCAATATATGAGAAACAGATTCTTCCTGTGATGATGCTAATACTCAGCTCCACTTACTTGTGTCCATCTCTTCTCAGCTGCACGAGTGGCACGGGGGCATTGGGCCATGGTACAAACTCCCTCAAATGCTGGTAGGAAACTCTGAGCTTTCTACAAACATTTCTGTGTTCAGAGTTTCATTTGCAGGAATATTTGTGGAGAGCAACTAAGCATGGGGAATAGCATTAACATACAGTTTCAAGGCTTTTATCACACTCTGCAAGCTGTGACCAGATCAACACATAGGGCTAAAGCCTTCACACAATTCACTTCAGTCACAAGCCCAGCTCTTTTATCCTCAGCTTTCAAACCTGCTGCATGCCAAGGTTTCAGAACTGCTGCGTGCCAAGGTTTCACAGAGGTCAGAAAGGCAAGGCTGCCTGAAGTTCATGCACGGTGACAACAGGCTGCCTATGGCAAGGCTTGTTCAAGTGCCTCAACTTTTGAGTCATGCTCACAGTAACAGGTATTCCCATAGGAAAAGGCAGCAGAAATGAATACTCTTCAGTCTGCCAAAAAAAAAAAAAAGATAGTAAAAGAGTTTACTAAGTGACCTCCTCACTCCTCTGCCCAATTGCTACAGTCACAGGTTTTGTGAACTCAGCCAGCAGCTGTTAACACAGCAGTTCATTACAGTACAGCTGGTAAGCATGAGTTAGCTTACAAAGGTACATAGATGCTATATTTGTCATTTGTTTATAAGTGATCGGTAATAACTGTACTGTTTGGGATTTTTTCTTCTGTAGCCTCTATCCTGAACTCGAATAACCCAGGACACTCAGAATGCAAAGTAAAATCATACTGCAATCAGCAAGGAGAACTCCAGTATGGAAAAAAGAGGAAAAGTAGGAAAAAAAAAAAAAAAGAAAAAAAAAAAAACAGAGAAGAACTTCATGAAACAGAAGTGGTGATTTTCAAGTCACTATAAGGTTTGGGGACTGCATTTATGCTTCCCCTAACCATAGTTTTACAGTCCTTAACCTCTCCATCGGCTTATCACCTGCAAAGGATGCAGCAGGACTTGGGCCCAGCAGAGAGGACCCAGGTCCCTGAGACCTAAGGGCTGTGGGATTTGCTTCCCTGCAGCTTTCAAGGGCAGTGATTATCATGGCATGGATGCCAGATGTAGAGCCAGCTGTTCCGCAGAAGCAGGGTGGTCAACCAAGCAGGAGGCTCCAGGTTTGGAAGATCTGCCTTCCATTTAATGTAGTGCTTGGATCAACAGGCAGGAAAATCTTTGGACTACTGTTTCCCCTCCCACTTTCCGACTGTCCTGTCTTGTTAGGCTGAAGGTTTTCAAAGGCAAACTGCAGCACATGAAGCTCTCCCTTTTTCCCTCGACACATGAATATGCTACAGCTGGGCAGCAGATTATTTTTTAATGAAAAATTGCTGTAATATAATAGTTGACCAGAAAATCAATTTTCAGAATCAACAGCTAATCTTTCTTTTGAAAACAGTTACCCTCTTTTTTTTTTTTTTTCCCCTCTCTCCTCTCTCCTTAGGCTGTACCATTTAAGGTCTTACTTGCAAAGCACACAATTTCAAATGTCTTCCAATATTAAAAATTTGGGAAGGGTCATGGCATTTTTTAAGAAAATCTTACATCTTTTTCACAAATTTTCAACAAAACCAAGATGTCAATAATACTAATGCAAATGAATGTGCAAAACATAATAAGAAAAAGCATGCAAAGTATCACCAGCTTCTCTAGCCTCAGACAAGGGGATGCTAAATTCCTTAGGCACATGAACTGTTCGCAGCACAATGAGGCTCTCTTCTCTGCCTACATCTGCACTGTACTGCCTGCAACAGGACTATAATTTCATAGTACCAAAAACAAGAAGTCCTTGAGCTCAATTTCAGTTCTGTATGAAGCTCCATATGATAATGAACCACACTGGATGGATAATGAACTACTCTGGTCTCTTTAAAGCTTCTGGCACAAGAGGAAGCAGCTAGAAGTTTATAAGGGCCCCTATAGCACTTGGCACAAGAGGACATTGATCTTGGTCGAGTTCTGTGCTGTTGTCAACACAATCTTGGTGCACAATTTGCTGCTCCTACTGATTTTATTTCTTTAGCTTACCTGTTTAAAGGGAGTGCTTTAAACACATGTTTCTTATGGGCCTAGGGAGGAACTGTCCTTTGAGCTGTGTTGATATAGCTAGCTGCACCAAATGCTTATGAAGATTAAGACCACTGCCCAAGATATAGGGGCTTCACAAACCAACATTAAGTCCTTTCCAAGCATCTTCACTTCCCCACTCATGGAGAGGGTGGCAATGGTGAGGAGTTTGTAACCTGACTGAACATTTGTTGC